GGGAGCCTAGATCCAGAGGAAGGTAGACTCTCCACTGAATACTATCCAATTTCTCTGGGCGGGGATAATGAAAGGAGATGGGGATAGGTCCCTTGTGGTACAATGGTGAATACTTGCTATCAGGACTGACTATGAGGGTTGGCAATGTAAAGGTAGATGTTCTGTAGCAAAAGGAGGGGAGTGATTGACTTTGCAGTCCAGGAGTGGAGGTCCCTGAAACCATCAAGGGAGAAGAACGGAGTGCAGGACCCTACCCAGAGAAGCAAGGATGTCAGAGATGGAGGCAGAGATGGCAACATGGAGAGATGCAGCAGCCAGGGTCTCTAGACCCAAAGTGGTAGAGGGGCTGTGTGCCGACGACCGGGGGGGCAGGCTTATAGGATATACCCTTTGGTTGGTTGATGACGCATGGAGGGGATTGTAACCATGGCAATGAAATGATATATGATAGGATGAATGTAAAGCTAATGCTCTCCCATGTAAACTATCACATAATTCACAATAAAACATTAAAAAAAACAAACAAGTGAGCAGCAATCTAAGGTGCAACTATAGTCTCTCACTGTCCAGAGGAAAGAAGAGTGATAAAATTATTGCGTAGAAATAATTAGAAAAAAAGAAGGAATGGAAACAGGAAGCAATGTGAGGAAGTGGAATAAGTGGTGGTACACTGTAAGGCTTATAATCAATTACATAAAACAACATATGTATGAATTATTGAATGGAAAACTGATCTGCTCTATACACCTTCATTCAATTCACAATAAAAGTTTCAAAATAAAAAAAAAAGGAATAGGTTGTTATCTATAAAGGCAAAAAACAGATTGGTGGGTGCACAGGTGTGGAGAAATAAGGAGAGTGACTGCTAATAAGGTATGGGAAAAGGTGACGAAAATATTCTAAACTGACAGTGGTGATGGTCACACAATTCTGCAAATGTATTTGTAAAACTACTTGTAAACCTTGTACACTTTAAACGGGTGATTGTTTGGTATCTGAATTATATTTAATTGAAAACAACAACAAATTCCCAATAATAATAATAATAATCATAATAATAATCATAATCATACAGAAGTGCTAACAAAGATGAGAAGACACTGAGGCACAGAGAAGAGAACCCTGGGAACGGAACAACCAGAACGCAGTCAAAGACAATGCTGACACACTGCGAAAAACGAAATGGACGCGCACGAACAAGCTGTCTAGAAATGATCAAACTGGAACCTAATTTGCTGTGTAAACTTTCACTGAAAACACAATGTATTACTGAAAAAGGAAACGCATACAAAAAAAAAAAACAAAAAACTAATAATAATGGAAGTAGAAGGAAATAACAAAATAAAGCATTGCATAAGAAATTATAAAGATAACCAAAATTCTCAGAATTAAAAAGAAAATGATAGCTAACAAATTACATTTTGTCTTTAAATCCTGGGGTACCTCACAGAAGTCTCACAACAATAATATACAATAGAAAATACAATAGAAACACTTACTTCCAGCTCAGAGTCTGATAAATCAGTTTCCTTTGGAAGCTGTAAAAACAAAAGAAAAGACTCTGAACTTGGCTCATTACACCCACTCCTCACTTAGTGACATCATTAGATTCCAAAGACCCAGGTCGTTATGTGAAAATTGGTGTTATGTGAAAACAGAGGATGGTTACGTCAGATTAAAAAACAAGATGATGACATCATTATGTAACTGCTAAACCACTGAGAATCGTGGCTTGTCCAAGCTAACCTTAACCACCATAGCCTGCATCGTGCCTGATACTCCGGAATTCATTACTGACAAGACACTCATTCATGGGCAAAATAATTGGATAGTAGATTTGTAACTACTGCTGTACACGTGAAATCTGCATAACGAGTGAAGAGAAAATGTGTAACAAAATCCTAACTGACTAAGCACTGGCTGAGAAAGACGTTTAATTTTTAAGATACTTAATAAGATAAAATCCACCCTAGAAACAGGAAGAATGTCTGAGGTGAGACTTTTTCTCAAAGCTAGTCTAGATCAAGATTTTTAACTTTAGCATAGTGGTTATGAATCAGGCTGCGAACCTCAAGATCGGCAGTTCAAAACTACCAGCTGTTTTACGAGAGAAAGATGTTTTCTGCTCCTGTAAAGATTAACAGCCTCGGAAACCCTGTACAGGGTCGCTATGAGTCAGTAACCGACTCCAAGGTACTTAATAACAACAACAACTGTTATAGACGACGTAGAAATTCTCATCTAACGAAATATTACTCACCATAACTGCATAAAGAGAGTATAAAGTACACATAAGCATGAGGACACCTTAATGAAGTTTGTCACAAAGGATAAGATGTTCAAGTTATTGCCTCTGAGGAGACACTGGCATTTTTTACTGCATAGAAAAATTTAAAGAATACAAAGAGTCCAACACTGAATTCTTCTTTTCTAAGGCTTTCACACATGAAGCACTTACTGAGTCTAAAATGAGTGTTGGTGGTGTCACAGTTAAGCATTCGGCTGCTAACCAGAAGGTCGGGAGTTCGAACTCACCACTTGCTCTGACTGTGTCAGGTTGACGTGCTGGAAGCCTCTAGAGCAGCTCTACTCTGTCCTTCAGGGTCTGTGACTTGGAATGAACTGCACAGCAAAGGGTCTCATTTGCTTTTTAAAGCTAAAATAGTTAACTTCTTCAGCAAGTCCTACAGTCAAAGGTGACCTATAGTTTTTACTCCCCTGAGTTAGGACAAAGCATTCATTCTGGGTCTCAATCCCCACTGTACTACTGTAATTTAGTGCTTAAATCTTGGGAACATGCCTAAAATAAAAAGGCCATAAAGTGTTTTTAAAAGATCAAATGCAGCAGCATCTACTTTAAAAAAAAGAACACATTAAAATGTTCAGCACAACTAACCCGGTGCATGGCTCTAAATTCAAGTTCTTGTTTTCTTCACTTTGTAACAAATCTTCGATTTTCTCTCTGGGAAATCAGCAAAACAGGACGATCAGCACTTTTATGGAAAGAAGTCACCACCCAACAGAACAATCATACTCAAAAACAGTCTAAATAGAAGAATAAATGACAATATAATTTTCTCAAAGAAGGCTGCCACTTTTTTTAGTCCAATTAGACTAAAAGAATACTTTATGTGCCCCACGCTGTTTTGGGCTATTGTTGCGGTCAATAAATGAGTGACTTCCTCTCAAACATTCAACCCAAGTGTTGCTGTTAAGGGCTGTGGAGTTGGTTCCAACTTATAGCAACCCTAAGAGGTTTCTGAGGTTTTTCATCTTTTGCAGGAGCAGAAAGCCCCAGCGTTCTCCCGCAGAGCAGTTGGTGGGCTTGAACCACCGACCTTGGGTTTGCAGTCCGGTACTTATCTCATGGAGCACTGCACTCCCAAGTGATCCGTATTTTGTTAGCGTTGCTATTGCTAAGTAGCAAATAAAAGGCTGGTTTGGTCTTTAATTTCAGATTCTTATATTTGGTCTTCCCTAAAACGTTAAACTTTTCTAGTAATGCATTTCTAAGTTAAGCACTGGACTACAAACCACAAAGTCTGCGGTTCAAGCCCACCAACCACTCCACAGCAGAAAGATGAGGCTTTCTGCTCCCACAAAGATGTATAGCCTCAGAAACCCTAGACAGGGTGGCTGTGATTCGGAACCACCTCAACAGCACCCAACAACAGCAGTGATGCATTTATGCTGATAACTAAGCAGTCAGACATTCACATGGCACACCTGGGTGTCAGAAATTTCACCGTGAGACCAAAATCCCAGGACGGGTTGCAGTCTAGATAGGCTCATCCCATCCGTCTGCCCTCAGGGCCCCTGGCCACTTGCTGAGAGTCTCTTTCCTAGTGACAAGTAACAAGCCCAACTGCCATAACAAAAGTCTCAGTTTACAAGCATCAAGGAGGAAGAGCATGAGTGGAACATGAGATCCTACCTAGAAAAGTGGCAATAGCAGAGGCAGTGGCGTGGAGAGAGAGAGCAGCTGCAGGCTGTAGGCCCAGGGACTGAGTCAGGCTGTGTGCCTGCAGGCAGGAGGATGGCTTCTAGAGTATGCCCTTAGGATACTTAAAGGAATATATATTTTTTGTTTTGTATGTGTATATCAAATATTTTTGTTTTGTTCATCTGTAAAATACAAGATGTACAAGGGAAGCCACAGGGAGGAAGAAGGTAACTGCTGTTGCGGGGAGTGGATGGTAATCACTGAAACAAAACCAAGTCTATAATTTGTTGATGTTCTTGTCTGTTAACCTTCACTCAATTCACAATAAGTTTAAAAATAAAAAGTCTAGAAAGGGGCTGAGGACTGTGGTGGGGAGGGCGCAGGCTTACAGGGTACACCCTTTGGTTGGGTGAAGATGCATGGAAGGGATGGTAACTATGCCAATGAAATGATAGATGATGGAATGAATGTAAAGCTAATGTTCTCCCATGTAGACTATCATACAATTCACAATAAAACATTTAATAAATAAATAAATAAAGTCTAATTATAATTTGTCTACAGTATGTTCCACAGATCGAGGTATGCCCCAATTAAGTCCTATCACCCCAAACAGCACATTACTCAAAGCTCGTTTGGTTTCAGTTGAGGAACTTACACCACTTGGTCAATCAGCTTCTTCTGATCCTCAGGAATCATCACAGGGCACTCACAAGTGTTAGGAGATGCACAGGACAGCGCTCCGGCACCGTTAGACTGCAAACGTTTCTCACCAAACTGCCCTCTCAGCTGTTTCTCTTCTTCCTGATTTAAGTATGGAATTCCTAAACAGAATTTTAAGAAGAATGCATTAACAGAAGTAACCATTTTAGAATCTCAAATTCTCAAGTATCTTTAAGTCTTCTTAAAAACCAAACAATACTTTAGCTTAACTAGATTTTTTAAATGTCTGCCTCAAGCATTATGGACTCTAAAGAATCTAAACTGCTGCACAAGACCTTTTTAAAATGTTGAAGAGCAAAGATGTCAGCTTGAAGACTAAGGTATGCCTGATACAAGCCACGGTTATTTTCAATAACCTCATATTCATGCAGTTGCACAGAGAATAAGGAAGGTAGGTTGCAGAAGTATTGATGCTTTTGAGTTATGGTGTTGGAGAATATTGAAAGTGCCATGGGCTGCCAAAAGAACAAACAGATCAGTGTTGGAAGAAGTGCAGCCAGAGTGCTCCTTGGAGGCCAGGATGGCCAAACTTCGTCTCTCATACTTTGGACATACTGACAGCAGGAACCAGTCAGTGGAGAAGGATACAATGTTTGGTAAGGTGGAGGGGCAGAGAAAAAGAGGAAGACCCCCCCCAGAGAGATGGACTGGCCAAGTTGCAGCATCAATGGGCTCAAGCAGGGCAACAATTGTGAGGTTGGCCCAGGACTGAGCGGTGTTTCGTTCTGTTGCCAGGAGTCAGTACCAACTCAGTGGCACTTAACAACAACAATAGGATCAATCAAAGTAATAAGAGTAACAAAAACATCTGAGAGGCCTCTTGGTGGGCAGCATGTTTATACTAGTGGAGGAGGGGCAACTCAGACAGGAGTAGTCAGACTGGTTGCACAACTCAAGGACTGTAGCAAATGTCACTGAATTGCACAAGTAGAAATGGCTGAATTGGTGTATATTTGGCTGGGAATAGTCTCAACAACAATAAAAATTAATTTTAAAACATGTTTCAAATTCTCATGGACTAGACTGTCAGGAGCCAGAATGGGGTGGGGGTGGAGGCTTGATGAACCCCTGAAATGACTGTCCTGAGATCATCTTTAAACCTTCAACCAAAAATGTCCCCTGAAGTCAAATGAAGCAACAGTTTAGCTAACTATTAAAAAAACAAGTCTGCACTGAGCATGATGCTAAGAACAATCGATGACGAGATCAAATTGATGAAAGCAACTCAAAAGATTCAACAGGAGCCTTCTGGGAGTGAGATTACATGACTGGGGGAGGAACATCTCAGAAAAGGAAGGGGTGAGTGGTTGCAGAATTTGGAAGAATGGGATCCACGCCACTGGCTTGTCCAAGGTACGAACTGCTGAGCTGACGTATGTTTCGCTGTGGACGCTATGAACCACCACCACCAGCTCTATATGGAAGTCACACATCATCTTACCGTTGTGGAAAACCTTATTGAAATCAAATCCTTGGCTTGCTAGGAAGTCAATGCTGGAGCTCTGAAACAGAAGACAGGTTCTTAGGGATGTCAGTGGCAGACCCGTGAACAGAAGCAGAAAAAGTACGTGAGCAAGGAAAGACAGGCAGGTAGGGATGGAGCACGGCAAAGGTCAAACGACAAGGGATTTCTACTCCAAGGATGTCACGTCATCCATGAATTTACTTGTCTTTCTTAGGTTGGAAAACAAATACCCTTCGTTTCACAATATTTTAAGAAAAATCTACTGGGTGAACAGACAACAGGCAAAAGAAACCTCCAGGTTGCTGTTGTAACTCCTGCTTCTATTACCCACTGTGCTGAATTGACTCAGTGACCCTACAGGACACAGAACTGCTCCATGGGATTTCCGAGACTGAAATCTTTATGGGAACAGAAAGCCTCACCTTTCTCCCCCTCCACATCTGCCTGGCATGCGGCATCTCTCTGTATGGGTAGATATCTCTTTACCCCACAATATGTTGTTGTTGTTGTTAGGTGCCATCGAGTCAGTACTGACCCACTGCGACCTTATGCACAGCAGAACGCAACACTGCCCGATCCTGGGCCAACCTCACTACTGTTGCCACACTTGAGTCCACTGATGCTGCCACTTAGCCAATCCATCTCATTGAAGGGCTTCCTCTTTTTCTCTGACCCTCCTCCACCTTACCAAATATGATATCCTTCTCCAGTGACTGGTCCCTCCTGACAATATGTCCAAAGTTTGAGAGACTAAGTTTGGCCATCTTGACCTCTAAGGAGCACTCTGGCTACACTTCTTCCAAAACGATCTATTGGTTCTTTTGGCAGCCCATGGCACTTTCAATATTCTTCTCCAACACCATAATCCAAAGGCATCAATTCTTCTACGGTCTTCCTTATTCACTGTCCAGCTTTCGCATGCACATGAGGTTATTGAAAACACCATGGCTTGGGTCAGGTGCACCTTAATGCTCAAGCTGACATCTGTTGTTGAAAAGCAAAGACCCCAGAAAATACTAGGTTGTTTCATTCCCAAACGGATCAGCACTGGACTGAAAACCACAAGGTCAATGGTTCAAAACCCACCAGCTGCTCCTCGGAAACCCTGTTCAGGGTCGCTGTGAGTCAAAATCAACATGACAGCATTTAACAATCCTGATGGGGTGCTGTGAGTTAACAAGCTAGACTGCAAAGTCAGTTTGAATCTCAAGGTCAGTGGTTCAAGCTCACCAGTTGCTCCTCGGAAACCCTACATAGGGTCGCTATGGGTTGGAACTGATTCAACAGCACTTAACAACAACAACATATGCTTTAAGGAGACCTAGGGTGGTGCTGTGGGTTATTTCACTGGACTGCAAGGTCTGTTTGAACCACAAGGTCGGTGATTCAAGCTCACCAGCCACTCCTCGGAAACCCTGTACAGGGTCACTACAAGTCAGAACTGACACAAGGGCAATTAACAACATATGCTATAAGGTTGAGTTTTTCAAGAGCACTTTTGACTTGACACAAGCTCACTGTACCTAGAACTCAGTTCCCTTATACGACTCAACTCTGCACTCGTAACATTTTAACACAAACAGAACCACCTAACTGGGGACAAAAGCAAGAATTCAACAACACATTGACCTCATCCATAGTTTGTGTACATACTGAATATAAGCCTTTCCTAGCATTTTCACTCTGCCTTAAAACCACAGTCTCCTTAGCCCTTAGTCCATTTGAGACCTTCAGTCTTTGGCCTGCTTTCAAGTCCATTTTATCCATTGTTTTTTTTTTTTAAATAAAGGAGTGGCTGGCAACTAGAACTTCTTTGTTCTAGGTGTAGCCACAACATGGCTTTAAACATGGATAGAGTTCTGTCTACCTATCTCAAAATAATACTTTTGCTAGTCTTTTTAGAACAAACGTCACTCCTAAGATGTCTCAAGGTCAATGTTGGCTTGTGTTTGATTACACCTATGGCCAAAGTCAGGAAAACGTTTTAACCACATCCACACAAATTTCCAAGCCGAGCCTACTTTTCTCTCTGTGAAACAAAACCCAAAAAACCCCTCCACCAAAGTCGCTTCCTACCCATTAGACCTGAGAATTGGCCCAATAGCGTTTCTAAGGCTTCCATCTTGATAAGAAGCCGATGGACACATCTTTCTCTTGTGGAGCGGCTGGTGGGTTTAAACTATTAATCTTTTGGTTAACAGCTAAGCTCTTCAACCACTGCACTACCACAGTTTCTTTTTCTCTCACTGAGCCTTTATGCTGTTTCATAAAATACCTTGTACCAAACCAAAACATCCAACCCATAGCCATACCTGACGAACTGACTTAATGGCACTTAACAACAGGTCCTCTCATGAGAGCCTTTGTGGCACAGTGATGAAGCACTGGGCTGCTAACTAAAAGGTTACTGGTTCAAACCCACCAAGCCGCTCCACAGGAGAAAAGAGGAGGCAGTCTACTTCCAGAGACTGACGGCTTTGGAAGCCCTGTGGAGGAATCCTTATTCTACCTACAGGGTTGCTATGAATTAGAACCAGTCCAACTAAACTGCATTTCTGGTTTCGGGTCCTCTTATAGGAAGAGTCCTGGTATGGTACCTTTGGATAAGCACTTGCCTATCAACCTTGAAGTTAGCTGTTCAAACCCACAGCCGCTCCTTGGAGACCCTATGTAAGGTCGCTGAGTCGGAACTGACTCGACAGCTGCTAACAACATAGTAAGAAAGGCCTGGTGATCTGCCTGAACAAAGATGACAGCCAAGAAAATCCTACGGAGCAGTTCTGCTGTGTAACAGAATCACTGTGAGTCAGAATTGATTCAATGGCAATGGGTTTTGGTTTGTTTTAAATTTGGATTCTCTCTTTTGGGTTTTGGGACAGGAAACACATACATTTTGCTTCTCAGAAGAAGAAAAAAAAAAAAAAAGCCTGGGTGCGAGAATGCAGTAGGGAGAAACCAAAAGACCTGCTGTGGAGGTTATATTGAGGGCTAAGACAGAAGAGTCCCAAATGGAACCACATTATCAAGCATGCTCTCAATTTCGGCTTTGGCAGCAATAAAGCTGATGTTCTGCTGTCTGTCTGACTCTTGCATCTTTATCTTCAATCTGCTCTGAACTAAAGAGAATTCACAAGGTGGGTGGAGGAGGTATGTGACGCCTGAGTTCCCCAACCTAGATGGAGTTTCTATAGCCCAAGGTGGTTCCATACAGTAAGTACCAGACTGCAAACCACAAGGTCTATGGTTTGAGTGCACCTGCCTCTCTGCAGGAGAAATATGAGGCTTTCTGCTCCTGCAAGATTTTAAAAGCCTCAAAAACTCTAAAGGGATTGTGATGAGGGAGAAACAACTCCACAGCACTTAACAACAATAAAGAGAGGTGCTGTTCATTTGCAATCCTACAAGTGAAGGTCAGAAGAGCTAAATAATTTCCCCTAAATCTGAAGTTACAGGGTTAGTGGTAGGACCGAGTTTTAAGTAAGAGTTTGATTTGTATTCCTAAATTAAATGAGTTCCCATTTCTATGCTGTCTCAACTGCAATCTATAAAACACAAACTCAGTTGCATCCTTCTTACCTGACAAACAAATTTGACATCTGGTGAGGATCTATTGAAAGGTTTCGGGAAAACGTAAAAGTTAAATGACTTCGTTATATACCTGGGGAAGACAAAAGATAACAGGAGAATTAGGGGTCACATTTGGACGTGACCAACGCAATCCAGATGCCTGTTAATAACAACCTACTTTGAATCTGTGTGGTCGTACTTAAAAGTACACAGGCCAAATTGAAACAGCAAGAAATCCATGGAATGCTGGAAAAGAAAAAAACATCTATCAAAGCTGTGCTGTCTACTCAACATGAGCAATAGTCTGAGGGGGCTTTAAAAAGTTCCTGTAAAATTTCCAGTGCCTTTGAATTCCATTTTTCCACCAACTTTTTGAAGTCCCCTCGTATTCTCAACATTCTCAATCATGCGATACTTCCAAAGCATTATTAGCTCTCAGAGGCATTACTGACTTATATGCATATCTGAATTATTTTTCCCACCAATTAAGTACCTATCCATCACCCAGGGCATCATATTACAACGACTTCTAAATAACTCAAACAACCACTTCACACGTCCAATCAATGCAATCAACAGTCACAATACTACACCTTCCCAAAATGTTTTACAGCAGAGAACGCTACTGATGCGGTGGTTTCAAGCTTCATTTCATGTTGGGCGTTGGGAAGAAATGCCACACTGAAAACACTAGGTGTATCAGCTGAATGATTACATTTCTCTGTAATTCAACATCGTGAGAATCACCATGGGATAGAAAAGGTTTTCTAACACATCTACTTGCCTTTTTGAGCTTCTGATACCTTTCCTCTGGAGTATCAAAACCATTTGTTAATGTGGTAACTGAAGGTCCATCACTGATTCCTAGAATTTGAGACACAGAAATTTCAATTAATAAACACGAACTCTGTCCTATGAGCCCTGATGTGTGCTGCAGGATAAGCACTGGACTGCTAACCACAAGGCTGGCAGTTCAAAACCCATTAGCTGCTCTTGGAAACCCTATTCAGGGTTGCTGTGAGTTGAAACCAACTCAATGGCACACAACAAAAACAGCAATGTAAAAATGCCAGTCAACCATTCAATGCCTCGATAAATAAAATGTTCCTACGAATTCTGATTAACTGGAAGTGCTCCCCAAATCTTTGTCAAAATTAGCTTTGTTGGGTTTGAATTGTATCCCGCAAAATAAATGTTTTAAATCCTTATCCAGATTCGTGTGGTTATAATCACATTTGGGAACAGGTTTTCTTTGTTAATGAGACAGTGTTGGTGTAGGGTGACTCTTGAGTCTGTAGCTCCACCCACTGGACTAGAGTCTACACAAGCTCCTATACCACCTGGCCAATGACAGACATCAGCCAAATCCACCCTGAACTGAAGTACATCAACGGTAAACAGAAAACCGTGCACATGTTTCCATTCTCCAGTCGAACTCACTAGGAGACAGTCAGTGAGAGCCTAAAAATACACCAAAGTCAAATCACCAATGAAATATGGTAATACCACAACCTCTCTGAGGCAACAGAAAAGATTTTAGTTCACATGGAGAAACATGTGGCTCAAAGAGACCAAGACGCAGAATAAAAAAAGCCTTTCTGAAGAAGAAAAGGCAATGAGACTACCGAAGAAAACAATCAAAAGATGGTATTTAGGTACCTTCAGTGGATTGACAGAGCGAGGAAAACAATTTAGAAGACTTCAGGAAAACTCTACAAGAACAAACAGACAAAATAAATGCAACTTTTGAAACAATACAAACAGAAATCCAGAAGATTAATACTAAGAGCTCAGAAATGGACAACACATTGAAAGGGCAAAGGAATGCATCTGAATCCATGAGAGTACGGATTAGTAACTTTCAAAATAAATTTCTCAATACTAGTAAACTATAATCTGAAGAAAGTCTGAGATTTACATGGGACACTATGAAAAGGAATAACTTAAGGGTGATCAGAATTCCAGAACAGGAAGAGATAATAAAAGACAGAGAAAATTGTCAAGGAGTTGATGGAAGAAAACTTCCCTCCACATCATGAGAGACAACCAGATTATCATTCAAGAAGCTGAACAAACCCCAAACAGGATAGATCCCAAAAGAAAATCACCACAACATATCATAATCAAACATTCTAAAACCAAAGACAAGGAAGACAGTCTGAAAGCAGCTCAGGAAAAATGAAAAGTTACCTACAAAAGAGAATCAGTAAGACAAAGTTCTGATTTGTCAGCAGAAACCATGCAGGCAAGGCAACGGGATGGCATACACAAAACTCTAAAAGGAAAAACCTGCCAACCATGAATCATATACCAAGCAAACCTATCCCTCAAATATGACAGCAAAGGCTATTTTAAGATAAAAAGAAATGAAAAGAATTTGTAATAAACAGATCAACTTTACAAAAAACACTAAAGGTGTTCCTTGGACTGAGAACCAACAAAAGCAGACAACAACCTGAGACTAACATGCATGACAACATTATCCAGCACTCAATCCAGACATCCAAAGTAAATCAAACTTATAAGATTGAAATAGGGAAGCAGAGATATCAATTTATAATGAAGTCAACCACAAAGCAAAAAAGAGAATAGTATACACACAGAACTTCCAAATGGAGAGGAATTCAACCTCCAAGAAAATACACCTTAACATCAAAATAAAAAAAGAGATTAATCAAAATGATCTAGCAAATATTAAGGCAACAGCAGTGAAGAAAATCAAAAGAAAACTCACAAACTAAATGAACTCAGTGCAGAAATTTATGTGGAACAAAGGAACTAGCAACATCACACACACCACAAAACCACAAAGCAAATGAAAGCAATCAATTACACTGACTATAAATGGATTAAACGCACCAGTTAAGACACAGAGAGTAGCAGAATGGATACAAACATTGGTACATATATACACCAGCATACTACACAATGAAGAAAAATGATGACTCTGTGAAACGTTTCACAACACGGATGAACCTGGAGGACATAATGCCGAGTGAAGTTAATCAATAAAAAACGGACACATATTGTATGAGACCACTGTCAAAAAAAGTTAAGAAAAGGTTTTCTTGCTAAAAGAAACGATCTGTGATGTTTACCACAGGTGGAAGGGAAAATTATTGACTGGGTAGAGTGCAGACACATTAATTTGGGTTGGGTAATGGGGCCCGCAATATATAAGAGGGAGGCTGGCAAAAGAAAGATGACATGACGGTTAGCAGGAGACACAGGGAGGAATGTAAATAAAATAAAAAATGAAAGTGAAGTAGAGATAAATACTGTTAACTGTTGGTACATGGAGGGAATTATAACCACGTAATGAAGCAAAGTATATAATTTGTTGAATGCAAAACTGATGATCTACTCCGTAAACCTTCACTCAATTCACACAAAAATTTAAAAATATCAAAATAGAGTTATTTTTTAAGAATTAAAATGATTACAGGTAAATACTGTTCACTGATTTTACATGCATGGAAGGGACTGCCATCATTATAAGGGCACGAAGTGCATGATTTGTTCACTGTAGGACTGATGATCTGTTCTGTAAACCTTTACTCCAGTCACAATGTTTTTTTAAAACCCTCCTCACGTTGGGCATGAACATCTTCACTACTGCATAAAGGAATACCTTTATTAACAGATCCTAACCACATGCTTTCTAAGCAGCACCAATACATCTCTATCTATATCAGCAACTCTTAGGGAGCTCACACTCACAAACCCACTGCATCTCTCTCCCATGCTTTTGAAACGTTTAAGAGAAAACGTTGGCACTCATGCAATTTGCCCAAGGGTACAAACTAAGCTAGGTCCTGTCAGCAGGCACGAGAAAGTGGGTGCAGGAGAAGAAACTGTGGATTTACAACGCAAGGTGCCAAAACGGAACAGGCAAGCGAGGGATACCTGAGAACTCCCCATCGATGGCGAAGAAGTCAGCTTCCTCTATGGCCTGGTACACTTTGGGAAGATTACTCTTAAAATCTGCAGAGAAACCGAGAAGAAAGTTTTAGAACCAGGGCCTGACTTCCCGCCCGTGGGTTCCTAAGGGGATACGGGAGGATCGAGGGGCTCCTGAGGCCACGGACTGGTGGACAAGCCCCGAGGGATGCACGTGACGGAGGGGACAACCCTACGGAGTACGAGAAACAAGGAAGACAAGTCCCCGGGGGTGTACACGGGCTGGAAAGCGGCAAAGTCCTGAGCGGCTGCCTGAGCCCCAGGCCCCGCCGAGCAGGAGGCTCCGAGGCCTGGGCCTAGCAGTGTGACCGGGCCTGTGGGAACGCGGAAAGATGCACGTGTGAATACGCACTACTTCTGATTATCTCCATTCTGCAGACTGGCCGGAATCCGGCCCGCCACACCGTTCCACTTGCAGAACTCAGCAGCCACGACGGCGGCAGAGGCAGCTACAGCAGCTGCAGCAGAGACGGCGGGGGTTGGTGGCGGAGACTTCCGGAAACAGCGCGCGCCGGCGTGTGTCACGTGCGTTGCGTCACCAGCGAGGGCTGGGCCGAGACCAGGCTCCTTTTCTCCCTGGGAGCGTGAGGGGGCGTAACTAGCTATATCCGCGGGGCGTGGTCAGAGTTGGGGAGCATGATTCACTTTAGAAGCTGAATTAGGCATATGCGGGCGTAGTGCGTGAACATTAGTATCTGTTGGTTATTATTTGCCTGGTGTGGCGCTGTGGTTAATACGCTGGACTTCAAGGTCGGGTTGAACCAAAAGGCCGGAGGTTCAAGCTCACCGGCTGCTCCATGGGTCACAACCTATTCAATGACATTTAACAAAAAAACATGTGCCAAGAACCCTGTTAGGGATGGGAGTACACTGAAGAACAGAAAAGATACGTTCCCTACCCCAGTGTAGCTAAAACCTGGAAAAGGGGAGAAAACATAAAAATTGGCACTTGGAGACAAACTGACAAGAAATCGTTATAACAAAGAGATGATCAGGGAAAGCAAAGGTAAGACCTTCATCTACTGCCTAACCACTACGGTGAGCAAAACAGGCAAGGTCTTGGGTAATAGACTTGCAGGGTATACCATTTGGTTGTTTGATGATGCATGGAGGGGATTGTAACTATAGCAATGAAAGGATATACAGGATATACAATAGAATGAATGTAAAGCTAATGTTCTCCTGTGTAAACGATCACATGTCACAATAAAACATTTTAAAAAATAATAATACATGCAAATAAAGTGACTCAATTGCCAAAAAAAAAGCATTGTAATTTTGATTGATATTACCAAACAATTTACTATAAGGGTTGTACTAAGTTAAACTACCACAGCAGTCTAGAAGGTGCCTTTTTTCCCAGTTTAAGAAAAAAAGTTTGGATTTTAATTTTTATATAAGTTTAATAAAAAGGTATTATATAATTTATGTGATAATTATGTAATTGGGATGAAGCACTGGACCACAAGGTCGGTTTGAACCACAAGGTCGGCAGTTCAAACTCACTAAATGCTCCTTGGAGACTCTACACAGAGTCACTATGAGTTGGAACCGACTCCACAGCACTTAATCCTAGAGCAATAAAAGAATCAGTACATATGGTTACAAGTCGACTCCACGGCACATAACAACAACAACCAGTGTGGGATGAGGCAAGCAGGGGATTATCCATCATCAATAGAGGAATACCAAAACTAAACCAAACCCACTGCCACCAAGTTGGTTCTGACTCACAGCAACCCTGTAGGACACAGGGGAACTGCCCCCTAAGGAAGCTGTCACATCTTTCTGATTGGCTTACAAGCTTTCAAGAGGGCATGAAGGAAGATAGAATCTCCACTGAGTAGTATACAATCTGTGTAGGCGGGGCTGATGAAATGAAATGTGGATGGGTCTCTTGCGATACAATAGTGAATAATTGTTATCAGGACTGCTTGTGAGGGTTGGAAATGTAAAGGTAGACGTTTTGTAGCAAGGAGGGGAGTGATTAACTTTGCAGTCTAGGAGCAGAGGTCCTTGGGACCATGAAGGAAGAAAAGTGGAGAGTGGGACCCTACCCAGAGAAGCAGTGATGCCTGAGATAGAGGCAGAGACAATGACCTGGAGAGATGGAGCAGCTGGGGACTTTAGACACAGAGAGGGAGAGGGGCTGTGTGCTGACGACTGGGGAGCAGGCTTGTAGTGTATACCCTTTGGTTGGTTGATGATGCATGGAGGGGATTGTAACCATGACAATGAAACAATATATGATAGGATGAATGTAAAACTAATATTCTCCCATGTAAACCATCTCATAATTCACAATAAAACATTAAAAAAATAAATAAAGCAACAGGTGAGATAGGAACCACTGACTTTTAGGTTAACAGCAAGTATTTTACGGCTGTGCCACTAGTTGTTGTTGTTAAGTACCGTGGAGTCGGTTCCGACCCATAGTGACCCTGCACAGGGTTTTCGAGGCTGTAAATCTTTACGGGAGCAGAACGCCTCATCTTTCACCCGTGGAACCGCTGGTAGTTTCGAACTGCCGACCTTCAGATTAGCAGCCAGATTCGCAACCACTACACTACCAGTGCCACCAGTTAGTGCATCATGTAAATTATGAAGAATATTGGACAATTATTAAATTTGTTTTTTATTTATCTGTATCCTGGTGTGGTGCTATGGGTTAATATGCTGGACTGCAAAGTCAATTTGAACTGAAAGGTCATCAATTTAAGCTCACCAGCTGCTCCTCGGAAACCCTATACAGGGTCGCTATGGGTCGGAACTGACTTGACGGCACTTAACAACAACAACATAACCTTAAGGTAGAGCTAGGTGGATCTAGAGGATAAGCACTGGACTGAGAACCACAGATTTGGCAGTTCAAGCCCACTAGTGATTCTATGGGAGACAGATGAGGCTTTCTGCTCTCGCAAACATTTACAGCCTCAGAAGCCCTATACAGGTTCCCTATGAATCAGAACCAATGTGATGGCACTTAACAACATACCATGGGTTGCTAACCACGAAGCAGGCAATTCAAACCCACCAGTCACTCCCTGGAAGAAGAATGAGGCTTTCTGCTCCCACAAAAATTTACAGCCTGGGAAACCATATTCAGGGTCCATGTGTCTCAAAAGCTACTTGATGGAAGGAAGCGAATGGGTAGAAAACTATTAAAGGGAATGTAACATGTGGTAGCTTAAGGGTTAGGAATCGAGCTGTGAACGGCAAGGTCAGCAGTTTGAAACTAACAGCTGTTCCGCTGGAGAAAGATGAAGCGTTCAGCTCCCGTAAAGATTTACAGCCTGGGAACCCTGTACAGGCAGGGTCAGGATTCACTTTGAGTCAGAATCGACTCCACAGCACATAACCACCAACATCCAATAAGAGTCTTGGTGTGGTGCTGCAACGTCAGTTTGACCTGAGACAGAGCCAACTTGCCGGCACAATTGTTGTTATGTGCTGTGGAGTCGATTCCGACTCATAGAGACCCTGTACAGGGTTTCTGAGGCTGTAACTCTTTACCGGAGCAGAAAGCCTCATCTTTCTCCCGCGGAACAGCTGGTAGTTTCAAACTGCTGACCTTGTGGGTTCGCAGCCCGATTCATAATCGCTACGCTACCAGAGCTCCTTTGCCAGCACAATAGGGAGCAAAAAAACCTTTATACTTAAACTGTAAACATTGATTACTGGAGTAGAGAGAATTGAGATTTTTTTTTTTTTTGAAAGGTTGGGAGAATATTTATTTCTACTTCTATAGTTGTATAGTATTAGACATGCATTGCTTTTTGTGACTCAAATAAAGAAAATCCAATGAAGTAACTAATGTTTAGAAACTTGCAAATACTATTCTCATAGTTATTTCATTTTATTTTGCAAAGCAGTGCTACCTCGTATCTTTATTTTAGGGCATCCCTTTGAGCTTCAGTTGTACCAAGGTGGTATCCTGGCATACTCTGCCATATTTAATGATGTGAAGGGTAGGAGTTAGTGAAATTTCAATAAAGCATTTTTCTTATTATGAATAAAGTTGAGTGTCTTCTCCTACGCTTAAAAGCCATTCATAGTTCCTTTTGTGTGAACTGCCTGTTCATATTCTTTGTCCTTGGTTTTCTTTTTCTACTGAGTTGTTCATTTTCTTCTCAATTTTTAGTAGCTCATTAAGGAAACAGAACATTGTGATGTGAATTGTAAACATTTTCCAGTTTATCATTTGCCTTTGACTTTGCTTGTATCTCATGCTTTTTAATGGCTGCACAAAAGTACATTATGTGAACTGAAACAAAAACAAAAACCTTGCATTACTGTATCAAAACTATACACATTAAAAATAATAGTCTTCTAGACTACGAGTGCACTCTCTTCCATTATCACATCTTTGTGCTCTACCAATTTATACACAAAAAAGGTTACCTCAAACTAGCAATTTAACGATGTCTGTTCCAGCGATCAAAAACTGATCAGTACAAGTTAACAGACCAAAACATTGCCAAAAAAAGGTAATGAGAGGAATGTCAAGTTCGTTCTGATTCTTTTTAATACGGTGAATTCAACTTTAGACAAGATCTTGTGATTTTCCGCGTGAAATCTGAAAGTAAAATAATTGTAGAGTACCGGTCTTGTAATACTACGGTAACTTCTGGGTAAAGCTGTTTTATCCGTGTTCCAAAACCGCAGCCCTGGAGAAGCGCACTGAAGCCAAAGCCCTCCCTCCCCTCGGGGCATAACTCCAGCGCTCTGGCCCCAGGTCCGACCTAGAAGAGGAAGGGGTGGGACCGGTGGTATTACGCATGCGCTGAAGTTCTTGGCCCGGGAGTGGCCGCTCTAGGCAGCAGGGAGGTCGCGGGGTTGAGGGGGTTGGGAAACTAGAGCGGCTTCTCCTCTATGGTCATGGGCTGGGGGCACCCTACATCGCCGTCCGTCCTCGGATACTTCCGGAAGTGAAGTCTTACACCTACTCCTCTGCTTCCGCGGAGTGTGGACTGAGGGCGATGGCTGGGACTGCGCCGGGACTAGCCGAGTGGTAAACTGGTGGGGAAGGGACGGCCCGAGATCGATTTCAGGGCGGGGTGTGGAAGACTGACCGGGAACCCTACGAGCCGAGACGCTGCGTTGGGGTCGTCGGCGGTGCGCGGGGCCTTTGTCATCCAGGCCTGCGTCCTCATGCGCAGCCCTGGCCGCGGAGGCGAGCCCACCTTGGACAGTGAGAGGAGTAACTAGAGCGTGGCAGGTATGGCACGTGTCCTGGGCGCCACTTGAGGGGGTTTCTATGCACTGTGTTCCATCGCCAGTTGTGATAAAATATTCAGCAATTTAAAAGGAATTTCCATCGGCCCTATTTTCTGAAGATTTAAGCTTCTCCATCCTTGCTGGAGAGCCCCAAGCACTGCTAGTCCCTGGGTC